ATTCTTTCTCCATGCCCACTTCAGAGTCTGGCCCAGAACAGGGTCACTGAGTGATACGATGTTGGTTGACTCAGACTTGGGGGAAGAAGTCTAGAGATAGGGTTCAGATAACAACTTACCTTATAAAATATTAATAACTTGGAGTTTAAATAATTACTTACGACAGATCATGAGGATGTCTGTAAAGAAGGAATTGGGAATGAGTGCTACCCAACTTACACACATAGAAGTTGCCTCTGCAGGGTGACCATCCGGTCAAACATGGGGCTGATATCAGTCAACCATATTTTATTGTCACTAGATTTCAGAGCTGGGGCTGGCCAAAGTGGGGCTGCTAAATACAATACCTCTTCTCTCAGGAGACTCACCACCAGCCCAAGAATATAGACCCCACCCCATGGTCCCCGATCCAGTTCCTCCTAACGGCTGGTTTCTTCCCACGCCACCACTCTTTCTGCCTCCTAACACTTGGTGATGGCGATTGGTTCTTATTTCATATTTTTATTGTAACATTAAACTGTGTTCACCGATTCCAAGTCTGATTAGTTGGCTGCTTACTTGGCATGAGGGTCCACTTACTATTTTCAAAAAGCAGAAATGTGCACATGGAATTCTGTAAGATTAGGGAGCTGTGTCCAGCATGTTTATCAGGGACTTGGGTGGAGCATGGGAGCTGCAGAGCTGAGCAAAGTGGCTTGTAGATGGGGTGACAGGATCAGGGTGCAAACAGATCTCAGCAGGCTGGTATTCTGGGCCAAAACCAACAAGAGGAAATTCAGTAGTGAATACTGTTAAGCCTTGCCTAAGTAAAAATGCAAGAGAGCTGGCTCTCCTGTCATTGTTTGGAAAAAGACATTATTTTGAAGAAGGATACCTTATGCTTATTGAGACATTTACTTATTACATTTACTGAGATGCTGTGTGATTCATTCTATACATGGCATTTTATTTAAATCCTGTTGGAGTAAAAGTGTCATCTCCATTTTATAGATGAGTTTTAGAAAGGTTAAGAAACTTATCCAGAGTCACACAACTTTTAACCATTATGTGATACTGCCTCCATCATGAAATCCAATAAATGGTGTGACTAGAAAGGTAGGAAGGGAGGAAGGAAGGGAGGAAGGAAGGAAGGGAGGAAGGAAGGAAGGAAGGGAGGAAGGAAGGAAGGTAGGAAGGAAGGAAAGAAGGGAGGAAGGAAGGAAGAAGGGAGGAAGAGAAGAGGAGGGAAGAAGGAGAGATGGACACTTAGATTTCATCAAAAGAAACCTGGGTAATAGGGACACTATGTAGTCTGTATTATTCTCAGATACACTGTTATGTCCTGGATGCTACATTTTAAAATAAAAAATGTGCAGACTGCAGAGTGCGCAGAGAGAGGAGATATTCGTGAGAGAGCTGGGACAATTGAAGGTACCAGATTGTCTGAGAAAGCTTGAAAAGGTTTCCTCTGTAGAGGAGGATGGAGATTCACTGTCCACTGCTCTAGAGGATGTAAGTTCCAGGGAAGCAGGTTCTGTGTGGCTATAAAGAAGAATACACAAATATAAATGTTCAGAAATGACCCTGGGGACTCTTTGCTCAGCTCCAATGAGATTTTTTTTTTTTTTTCTGAACGTTTGTGTTATCATCATGCTGCTGGCATCAAAGGGGAGAGATGAGAACTGGGTTGAAATCGGGGATATTATTGCTACTCTTTGGAAAACGAAGAATGATGAGAAGGGCAGGAGGACTGGCTGGTAGGAAATAGCAGTGGGGTTTCAAAGCAAAATCTGACCATCTTCATGGCCAAGGAGAGGAGAAAAACTCAAGGAACCCTCTTGAGATGTCAGTTTCTCTCTGTTTTCTTAGGGGAAAAATATCTTACTGATTTAACCAAAGAAACCAAATGTCTGCATTTATAACTTGCCTATTTTAGTTATTTTAGAATAAAGATTCTTTTTTTTTTTCTTGTAAGTAAAGGTGGAGAAGTTATGGAAAGAAACCTGACTCTAACTATAAACTGAACAGATGGGATAGTGGGAATAAAAACAAATTAAAACAATATTGCAAAGAACTCTCAACTTTCATTTTAAACTATATATGATGATGGTTTTCAACTTTTCACATTCAACCTATCAGTATATCGAGTGACAAAATGAAAAATCAATTTCAGCTGTGTGTATTTTAAACATTTACCGAAATGATTTGGACTCACCACCCTAAAAGCCCAGATGAGTGTATTAAACTGCTTATTGTATTTTTTATGAATTCAAACTTTATTTTATATTACATTGTAGACAGGACACAGTTCTGTTTGGTGACGTTTAGTGTAGAAAATCGAACTGAACAGTGGTCTAATTAGAACAGTAAATAGTATGGGTTTAATTGGCCCTTATTCCCGATGACAGACTTGATCAGTTGCCAGGTATTCTTTCCTTTCACTTGACTGTTGCTGAAATATTGCCTCTAGTAGGGCTGCTTACTGTGCTATAAATAGGTAGCTTGGTAAGAAGCCAGGAAACCCACTGACCGGTGAGATATGGATGAAAATTATTGGAAAATCTCCTCCTTGCTTCCAGTCATTATTTATTCATTTCACATTTGAAGGTCCTTTCTACGATCCCTCTCTTAATTTAATTTTTTTTTTTTTTTGGTTGGATGAGGTAACTTGGCCTAAGGGCTTAAGGAAATCTGTGCAATATCTAGTTGAGTCCCATGCTTCGGTTTATTAGTATGTCAGGGTTTCCTTCATAAACTCTCCTGGTTTCCAACTTAGAACTCACCTGTTAAGTCCTGTCTGACTTGAGCTTTTCTGTATGTCAACAGGATGTGGTTTTGTTTGTTTCCTTGCTTGTTTTCAATTAAAATATTAAAGTGTTGGCTTAAAAAAAAAGAACTTAAAATTCAGAGACAAAAGAACAAAAGAATTTTAAATTTCCTAGCACCTGGAAGTAGCCACTGCTAACATTTTAATTAACCTCTTACTCATTTCCCTAGGCATGTACACATTTACCTGTATTAAATATGATATAGGCTTACATTCTTCTCTAAAGATTGCCTTTTACCCTCAAAGGTTTTTTTTGGCTGCGTTGGGTCTTCGTTGCTGTGCGCGGGCTTTCTCTAGTTGCGGTGAGCGGGCTACTCTTTGTTGCGGTGCACAGGCTTCTCATTGCGGTAACTTCTATTTGTTATGGAGCGCGGGCTCTAGGCACCTGGGCTTCAGTAATTGTGGCACGCGGGTTCAGTAGTTGTGGCTCTCAGGCTCTAGAGCGCAGCCTCAGTAGGTGTGGCGCACGGGCTTAGTTGCTCCGCGGCACGTGGGATCTTCCCGGACCAGGGCTCGAACCCGTGTCCCCTGCACTGGCAGGCGGATTCTTAACCACTGCGCCACCAGGGAAGCCCCCTCAAAGTATGTTTTAAAAGAAATTTCAAAATCCATAAAAGTTCAGATAAAACTAACATCTATTATAGCACCACCTGGCTTCATCGAGTTGAACTTTTTGTCACAGTTGCTTCAGATCTGTTGGGGGAGGGCTGGGAGGGGAATAAAACGTTCTGTTGGCGTTCCTCTTGTGTCCTTCCCCAACAGGGTGCACGCCGAGTCGTGCTCCCTCCATCCTTAGAGGCAATTTAGTGGGTTTTCTTCCAGCCCACATACTTGTACTTTGACTACAGCATTCGTGTGGATGTTCATATACTTACTCCTTTATCTATAGGTGAAGAGGGAGAAAATGCTATGTGTGTTTTTATTTTAATGTAATTCAATCTCTCAGTCTTTTGCTTTGGGGTTTTCTACCTTTGTTGACACATCTAGGACACTCTTTGCTACATCAAGCCTGTATGACTTTTAATCTATAGCTTTTTTTTAGTATTTTATGGGTTCAGCATTCAAAATATTAATTTCTGGAATATATCTGAATTCATTTTGGTGTCTTCTGTGAAGAAGTTATCTATTATTTTCTTTTAAACCACTCATCACACCGACTTGTGGTTCTGTGTGATGTCCTTATACTTGGGTCTGTTTCTGGACTCTTCTCTTTCTTACCTTAATAGATCTGAATGCTTATTGCTATGCCAATTCTATACTGTTTGAATTGAGGCAATTTCCCTCTAATTTTCCTTCTTGTACAGTTTTTTCTTGGCTCTTGTAGACATTTACTCCACCAGATGAACTGAAGTTCTAAAGAATCATTTTGTTAGGGTCTAAAAAAATCCCCTTTGGGATTTTGATTGGAGTTATCATAAATTTATAGATTAATTTGGAGAGAATTAACATTTTACAGTATTGAGTCCAGCTGTTTAGGACTACGTGTTTCTCCATTTATTCGAGTCTCCTTTAGGCCTCTTTGTAATGTTTTGTACATCATTTCTTTTCATATCTAAATCTATCTATATATTTAAAATTTTTTAACTACCCCTGTTCTCTTTTCTTTAGAGTATCTTGATATAAGTCAATGGTGGCAAGTTCAGAAGACAGATTAATACAAACGGCATTCATAGTTGAACTTTCTTTATTTTCTTGGACCCTGAAGCTTTATCTACTTTGTTTTCTTGGGGTGAAGCCTCTCTCAGGAGGTTCCACAAATCCTCCTGCAAAATGGTTTCTTTAGAGTAAGCACCAGTCTATATGACAGACAATGGAGAGAATTTCTTAGGTACAAGCTGGGACCCTGCTATGTAAGTTATAAAAACAAAATAATAGGAATAAATATTATTTATATTTAGCCGATTTATTTAAATTTTGGAATGATAAAATTTCAAATTTAAAACTGAGCTTGGAAGCCATCTAGATAAAACCTTCATGAGATGGAAAGGTACTCATGTGTCATGAGTTTCCATATAAAACTATCTTGTGTGTGTGTGTGTGTGTGTGTTTTAATGTAGCCATTCCAAAACAATGCATTTGTAGGCAACTTTAGTCTTTGTGAACAGCTTAGAGTAAGACTCTGGAAAAGCTGGGAAAGCTTTTGGGATATTTCTAGCATTTTGTGTATAATTTATTGCATTTTTTCACTTTACAGACTTCAAGAAACACTCGTTCGGATGAAGACAAAGATAGCAACTGGGATGCTTGGGGTGACTGGAGTGACTGCTCCCGGACTTGTGGGGGAGGAGCGTCCTATTCTCTGCGGAGATGTTTGACGGGCAGGTAAGTGGTGGCTTTTCCTGTTCTTCTCTGTGGGGTGTCAGCACCTTTGGATGGGTGAGGTTGGGAAGACAACTGGGCTTCTTGGCTTTGGAAGGTACCATGATGGTGGTGTAAGTTACCAAGTTACCATATTTAAATAGTAATCGCTACATTTTGATGAGTGTGGCCACACCCCTCCACATGAGACTCCCAGCTTGCAGCAGCTGGGGCACTCCACACTTTGGGCTTTAAGGGAGGGGAGGCCGGCATGATAAGTCACTGGCCCAAAGTTGTTGAGACCTGGGGTAAGAGGTCAAGTCTTCTGTGTTCCACCCTTGAGTTGTTGCCATTTTAATCACTTTCGGTTCACTTTCTCTGAGCAACCCATTGATTAAGAAGGTAATGCAAGGTCTGTGCTCCCAGCTTAGAAACGTTTATGTTAAGCAACACTTGTTAAAATGTAAGATCAGCTTCTTAAAAGATAAACGTACATTGTAAGAAACCCACAGTTATCATTGCTCTTTTTTTTTTTTTTTGCGGTACGCGGGCCTCTCACTGTTGTGGCCTCTCCCGTTGCGGAGCACAGGCTCCGGACGTGCAGCCCCAGCAGCCATGGCTCACGGGCCCAGCCGCTCCGCGGCATGTGGGATCTTCCCAGACCAGGGCTCGAACCCGTGTCCCCTGCATTGGCAGGCAGATTCTTAACCACTGTGCCACAAGGGAAGCCCTATCATTGCTCTTGAGACAATTTGAGGTAATTCTTCACGGGGTAGTGTCAGTCCCAGCCAAGGATTTTTACCTGAGCTCTCAGGTAAGACAGAACCCCAAGTGGATGGAACCAGATGTGCTGGTTCTGGACAAAAGAAGACTCCAAGATCATGGCAGCCAGCTTCAGTTTGGGGATGTTGTCCAGTGAAAGAGGGAATGGCCGTTCCCTGAATGTGTAAGGTATAGAGCAGAAATGCTCTGGATTCCATCAGGGTCGCTGTGTTATGGCATATTAAAGAGTGACCACGTACATTCTCCTTTTTCCTTGAGACAGCACAGAGCAGGGCAGATGTGAGACTGTAGACATGGCCTTTGAGAAGGAGGTCTCTGAGTCCACTCCAGGAAAGCATGGGAAGGCTTCTGGAGTTAGTGTTGGTGTCATTATTTTAGGGCAAGTTCTGACTCAGAGCTTGGAACCCTAAGTAAATGGTTGCAGAACTGAGTCCAGGGATTAGTCTCGCAATGACAGAGTGGTATAGCTGCTTCTTCTGTGTTACCTTGGTGAGGAAATAAAGGCCCTCTAAGTGTGTCATACCGTATGGATGTTACATTGTACCGGGATGTATTTATCCTGGTGAGGTTTGTAATAGGGGGCCTTTGTTCCTGTGGGCAAGGGTCAGGGAGGGTCTTCCTAGGTAGGGAGCAAGTTCTTACCCACCGCTGGTCAGTCATTTGAGGGAGAGGTTTCCAGCATGGAGACTGGCATGGGAAGGTGAGATTTTGGCATCCCAGTCCAAATCTGAGGGATCTGAATAGTTTGCAAAGAATGGTAGGGTTCAGGTGGGAAAAGAGTGGGGTTTATTTGTGTTTGTCTTTTCTTTATGGTATATACCTCCCCAGTCACCAACTAAATATAAAAGCCAAACCCCTCATATTAGAGCATTTTATGATTCCTTGACATTCATCCCTCATGCCCTGCCCTCAAAATATAAAAATCCATATCCTGTGATAAATGGCAAGGCAATTATCAGGAGTAATAGAAGGGATGAGACTACTTAAGCTCAAAATTTTGAGCTCAGTCAAGGTTCTGTTTGAATCACCGGTATAAATGGTCCTTATTCAGCATTAAGCATCACTTAAACAACAAAAATTCCATAAATTCTACTTATCCACTGGCAAAAGAGATAAAGGCAAAATTTTTAAAAAGGTGGTATGTACTTGTATCTGTTAAAAAGATTTAGAGGAATATATCAATATTAAGGACCATGAATGGCCACTTTTATCTTGTCATACAACCAAAATGCTTCCATGTCTGTTATTTTATTAATTTAAAAAGTTACTTTGATTTTGCCTAGAATATGACTTTGCCAAGTGATCTATCTCAGTGTGGGTGTGCATTTGTGTCTTCTGTTTCCTAACCGGGGTCGGCTGCTACTGGAAAGCCTCTGGGGTAGGAAGGGCTACTGCTCAGCCCCTTCTACCTTCTCTGTACTTACTCAGAAAAGGAGATTTGGGCAAGAGGAGAGGAGAAGGAGGAGGGGAGTTCTGCCTTGATTTTAGTGACCAGGTGTTGACGTTCTCTGGTTTAGTAGGTGTTTAAAGCCAGCTTCATCTATCGTGAGCACTTTGATGGATTTTTCTGAGAGAGTGTCTCCTCCTTCCCCCCCAGTCCCTTGGGATCCTTGCCTGCAATTCGCTTGAGTTGTGGTATTCGCAATCCTCTGACTTGGTAACATTGCTTTTTCCTAATCTTGGACACCTAGGCATACTCCCAGCTTCTTCCTGTTTATGTCTACTCACCCCCTCAGCGGCTGTCTTGGTATGTTCGTTCCTAAGACAACCCCATGCTGGCTCTCTTGCATGCGGCCCACATCTGGTTCACTGGGAACCCTCCTGTGAACTTTGCTAAACAAACTCTCCAGTTCTAGGAGCCAATGCAGCAACACCTGCTCTGCTTACACAGGCCACTGCAGCTGAGCTCTCAGCCCTTAAATTTCTCAGGTGTGAGTTAGACACCAACCAACTGCAAGAGGCACGTGTCAGCTGGTGCCCCTAAAATTTCTTCCTCTCAATTGGGGGTTCGCAGATTGAAGCCCTCATCCCTTCTCTTTCTGTTGGAGCAGGGTGAGGGGGTAGGATCATAGCATAGATTTCTCAAAGAAATCTTCAGAAATCCTTATGCTATCTAAGTCTGCAGCTCCAGGATGCTTTTTATGCCTTGGTGTGGGTAAGGAGTTTAACAACTGTGAGTTAAACTAACACAGAGCCTGTCCTCATGGTTCTTATAATCTAGGGGGACAAACAATAAACAAGTATGTAATCAAATTATGTGTAATTAAAATTTGTGTCAAGGGGGTAGATAATACCTATCCAGGGAAGTCCTTTGTGCCGAGGGTCTATGCTGAGACCCAACTGCTGAGAGGAAGTCAATTATATGAAAGGTGGAGGGTTATGGGACATGAAATCCAGATAGTGAGGCCAGCATATGTAAAGGTGCTGGAGCAGGAAATGAAAAGCAGCTTTTATGCCTAAAAGACAATAGACAGGGGAGAAAGCAGAATGGGCCAATGTTGAAGAAGAAGGTAAGGAATCTGATTCTCAGACTTTTGGATTTCAAATACTAGTAAATTGTTCAATAAAAGCATATTTGGAACTAATATAGGTTGTCAGTTTTTTATTTGGTCAAATAAAGACAAAAATAAAAACAAACAAAAACTCACCTGTGGTCTACCATCACAGACTTTTCAGGAAAGAATTACAATCAGAATCTTTTCATTTTAACATTAAAAGGTAGGACATAATCTTAGATTGAAAGACCTGCCTTTAAATTGAATTCATGTAGCTTTATAAAAATTTACTTTTTTGCCCTTATTTGTCTCACTCCACTTTGGACCATACTTTGGATGTAATAAAAACTATTACAGATATTAACAATCTAGTGATGGGTAATTGGGAACCAGAAATTGAGGAGTAAAACATAATCGTGGACTTAGAACTTGAGACTGCAAGATCCCTGCAAGTAAGTGATATGCAGAAAAATGACTTTATCTGAGCCACATTTTTCATCCTAGTATTCACCAATTTTTAAGCAGTAAGAGGCAGAAAAGCCAAGCAGAAAGCAGCTGCTAAGAGGCTGAGAAATTAAGCAGATTTATTGGCAGTTTCATAGTCAGTTTCAAATTTGAGTTCAAAGCCCTGGGAAACATCTCAGGTGATCAGTTTGTATCCATGAAGGACTATACCCTAGGAGAAAGGGAAAACCAATCCTAAATAGACTAGATATTACAAAGACTGAAACCTAGTCTTGAATTAGCTCAACCCTAATTTGAGTAATAAAATTTGTTGTTATTCCATCCTTCTCCAGGAAGCTTTAAAAAAGACACCCTGGAGGAAGATGACAGCAACCAGAGATTATACAAGTTTTTATAGATCATGCCAGTGATTCAATAAAACATTGCCAATCTTACCATGATACAAGAGCAAGAGGAAAAACAGATTATAGAAACAGGTACTAGAGTTATTGGACCTGTGTGTTAACAAAACAAAACAAAACAAAAACCCTGTAATAAATATTTACAGGATTTCACCAGAGAACTGGAATCCATAAAATTGAATCATATGGGAATTTGAGAATAGAAGCAAGTGATAACTAAAATTATGAACTAAATAGATGGCCATAATAGCAGATTAGAAACAGTAGAAGAGAGTATAGGTTTGTAGAAATATCCAGGCTAAATTATAGGGTGGGGGGAAAACAGAACATAGAGTAAGGGATATATGGAACAAGATGGAAAGGTCTAAACCATGTATAATTGGAGTCCTAAAAGGAAAAGAGACATAGATAATAGAGTAGAAGTACTATTTGAAGTGATAGTAACCAAGAATTTCCCAAAATTTCCAAAAGTTATTGCTGTAAAGATATCAAGCCACAAATTCAAGAAACTCTGCACACCCTAAAGAGAATAAATATGCATAAACACATTATGGTAAAATCTTAAAAGAAGCCAGAGAGAAAAGACACATTACCATCAAAGGAGAAAAGATAATGTTGGCTGCTAACTTCACATTAGAAGATAATGAAATTACCTAACATCTTGAAAGAAAATAACTATTACAATGGAATCCTCTATCTAGCAAAAATATCCTTCGAGTGTGAAGGTGAAATAAAGATGTTTTGAGACAAACAAAAACTGAGATAATTCTTTACTATCTGGCTTGTGCTAAAAGAATTGCTAAAGGGAGTTATCCAGGTAGAAGGAAAAGGATCCTAGGATCATTATTAAAGAAATAAGAACAATTTTTAAAAAATCTAA